AAAAAAGAAGAGGTATTTAACCCACTGAGTGGCAGTGCTCTCTACTTGTAAAGTAAAATCATCTGGTGTTAGTAATAATTAATAAATATAAGTAAAGTAAAACACATCAAGATATATTGTCGCTTAAAGGGTTAATATATGATTGACATCCATATTTTGTTAAGTACAGTATCTTGGAGAACACTATACTGATAAAATGTCCGGCTGGCAAATGTATGATGAGTAGCAGGGCTCATAGTTTACTGAAAACTTGCTTCAGAGAGGGACTATCTTTAACCCATTAAGTGCCAGTGTTCTGCCTTTGACAAGTAAAATCATCTGGCATTAGACAGAGTAAATTGGCTTGCAATGCATTGGTATGCAATGTAAGCTAATAGGTTAACCTTGTTACTGTGTTTTTTAAACGTAGGAGAAAGAGAAGGCAAAAAGGTTGCAATCGGAACCGGATGAGGAAGGTTGGGTAACCATTGGGAAAGGTGGAAGGAAACCTGGAGCAAGTAAAGTGGAAGCAGCTGAACTGCTGGAGAGAAGAAAGAAAAAGAAACAAAAGGTAGAGGTGGCAAGACATGACTGTTTATAACTTTATATAGTTTGTGTTTGTGGGTAACCAAAAATCATTTGCAGTTAGCCTTGCAAGGGAAGCGAACAAGTTTGGTAGTTGGGGGACCGGGGGACTGGAGGAAACCTTTTGGGCAACTGGGTCTGAGAAAGTCAATAGGAAACATAGCTCTGAGCTTGAGATTAATGATAAATAAAATGTCTTTTGCGGCTATCGTAGCTTACAGAAATGGGACGGAGGGTTCGAATTTTCATATTTGAAACATTGTGATTGCCATTAGTAATATGTCTGACAACAGGCTATTTAGCTTGAATAAGCTTCGTTACCAATGGCTGCATGCCAATGCTCACCAAACCTTGTCCTCAAAGATCTTCCAGTTTCCCCAATATAAAGCGTGCCACATCTATATTCAGACCGTTCCAGATATAATTCTGAGGTCATTTAACTGAATAAATCTTCCATGTTTTAATTCCAGCAACAACTCTACTTTTATAACTTTCAACAACGAGAAACGAGAAGAGAACGTGAGTTTTTCATATTTTTCATAATATCCTTTTCTCTTGAAGACTTTGGTGCAAAATTTGACCAATTTCAAATAATCTTATTACTCTTGATGATCCATCTAATATTTGTTCATTTTTTTACTTCTGTTTGAAATTCTAGATATTGCACAATTGCGGAAGAAATTCGAAGAGGATAAGGAAAAAGTGGCGAAAATGAAAGCAGCGAGAAAGTTCAGACCTTATTGATTTGTGCGATTATAGTTAGAAAATAATAGAAGTTTTAATATTTATACAAAGGCAGTGTTCCTACCCGAAAATTATTGTATTAATGCTAGTGAGGGAGCATCGGCTGTACGGTATCTAAATATTTTGTAAATATATGGAATGAATAACAGCTATCGGTCATATCATGTTCGTGATACATTTTACATTTTCTTGACTCAATGAAATTATTCATTATGTTCAGAGGTGGTACTGGATTGAAACAAACAGTTCTCTAGTAATGGGACAGCAATCTAACCAACTGAGCTACAGGGGTGAGTTGTCGAGCTGACCAGCTGTACACTGTAAACCCTTCTGATTGGCTCTATAATTAAACATGGGTATGACACAATCTTGCAAGCCAGGCAAGACACCTCCGCCTCGCCCCAAAACACGCTACGGGCAGTGAAAAATTATGGAGGCCCAAAATGAACCCTTTTAATTGCAGTAAAACTCCCAGCTAGTGGGGAAATGTCATTAGCCACTTGGTTTAACTTACATGAAGTACCGACGTAACTTCCAAAACTCCATCACAAAACTCTCCTTTGCTGTTTGATCATTTGATTTCCAAATGTCTACAGTTCTTTTTAGAGGATTTTCTGTTCGTTTTGCCCGCTCTGTTTCAACAAAGCAAGTCTCGAACTGCTGTAGGAAGTATCTGTCGTCTTTCAGAGGTATGCGACCTGTTTAGCTATTTGTATAGAGGATAAAACTAAAAGCACAATTAACTGTGCTTAAAGTCATTTCGTGTAGACTTTGTAGCGTAGACATGTGTACTTTTGATATAGTGTTGGTTTTGTCTTGAAATGTGTAATATATTTTTTTATATAGATAGGAAAAGGTTTTACAAGAAAGTTGATGTGATTGAAACAAAAAGTGAGTATAATTTGAAGGCTATAAAACAGCAAGAGTGCAGTTGACAATTTTATTAATTTTTATTGCAATCTGGAGCTGGTTGTTCAAAGCTGCATGGATTAGCCCTTAGTAATCTAAACCCTAAGCATGAGCTGATATATATATATATATATATATATATATATATATATATATATATATATATATATATATATATATATATATATATATATATATATATATATATATATATATATATATATATATATATATATATACACTGGATCCAGAAAAGTTTGACCTTCGAATATATATATATGTCGGCCATTTTGAATTTTTTTGGGTTAATTATACGCGAACGCATACATCAAATGTCGCTCGCAACGTACTGTATATTGCAATATTCCAACAGCTCAAATAAGTAACGGATCATTGTTTGAAGTTCTTACACATATTTGTAGTAGCTATCTAATGAACATTTGATGGTTGTTGACTAATTAACTCTTGTCACAATTTGGAACCTGATCTTTTTGGCATGCCGTAATTTAATCTTTTGCATCCTTAGAGATTTAGACGCTTATTAGCATGCCTCGATGAATTTCTTTGTTTATTCTTTCGTATTCACTTGCGCTTATTTTATAGCTGTAACCTACGTCCAGAATTATTATATTTTGCCAACGGAAATTTTAACGGAATCGATAGTCATTCGATATTTCATCTCCTGAAACTCAGCACGCGCAGCATTCGTGACCTGGCGAAGCAGGTCACTATGTTCATTTCCAAATGTTCATTTCCTACTAGCCATTATAATTATGTGCAAAGACATCAATCAATGATTCTTTTATTCATTTGAGCTGTTGGAATAATATTGCAATATACAATACGTTGCGAGCGACATGTTATGTATGCGTTCGCGTATAATTAACCCAAGAAAATTCAAAATGGCCGACATATATATATATTCGAAGGTCAAACTTTTTTGGATCCAGTGTATATATATATATATATATATATATATATATATATATATATATATATATATATATATATATATATATGTATATATATATATGTATATATATATATGTATATATATATATGTATATATATATATGTATATGTACATGTATATGTACATGTATATATATGTATATATATATATATATACATGTATATACATGTATATACATGTATATACATGTATATACATGTATATATATATATACATGTATTTATATATATACATGTATAATTCTGGCTTTTGTTTGTGATATTTCCAAGAAAAACCATGCATGTTTGTCAGAATGGAATTTATTCAATTTAGTAATTTATTTTAGAAAAGTATCCCGGTATACTGATTACCGACAGCGAAAATCTCTGACAGTTCCCTTACGCTGACAATCATTTACAGGGATACTTTTCCAAAATAAATTACTAAATTGAGTAATGACATTAATCTAGTAATGTTTTGCTAGCATTTTGCCCCAAATTTGAGTGTTGGGAGTTCCTCAGTTCACAAATATTGGTAACTGCCGATATTGATGTAATTAACTCTGATTGTAAATCAGATCAGAATTTGATGTTTCTTGACTGGCTCATCCCTATAGCTGAGCAGCCGCCACCCGAAAATTTGAAGAGGAAACCCCAATTTCCGGTTTTCCTTCAAACGAAATTCCAGGCTGCGGGCAGGCTACATCCCTAGCCTAGAGTTCACTGGTTTTATGTAATATGTCACTACATAGAGAGTTAGAGACTGTTCGTGTGCTTGGATCCCTGAATATTTGTGTCTGTTTCGAACAAAACTAATAAAACCTCATCACTGACTATTATTTAGAGGGATATCAAGTAACTCTTGACGATAAGACAGTAAAGACCCCACATGGACGACAATTGTGTGTTCCTTATCAACCATTGGCTGCAGCATTATCTGTTGAGTGGGATGCGCAGGAGGACGTTATAAAACCAGCATTCATGCACTTGGTAGGCATCGCTCTTTATCTATAAACAGATATCAACCATTTCAGATTTCAGGTCCAAATTTAAAAGCAGTCCAAGGTTAAAAGCAGTCCAAGGTTTTGGGATGCAGGCACGGATTATCGGGGGGTGCGCAGCCCCCAGAAATGATTTGCACCCCCCAGAGGCATTTGGCACCGCCCCCAAAAGTTTTTGCACACCCGCAAATTATATACATTTTGATTTGATAGTTTCATATTGGATTATTCTTACTACTAAATTTGTAAAATTACCAATATTATGGTCTCAGATCTTGCCATGCAGGCCTAGAAAACAAATTTTGTTAAACTTTTTCCTTGGCCTTTC